TAGCTTTATTGCCAATTGTACCATCTCCTTAAAAACAAACAAAAACTACGGCGCTTTTACATCGAAACTTAACTGAACAATGCTTAAGCGAAAGTAACCGTTACATGGAACACTCCCATTACCTCTTGATTTGGCCTTAACTGAAGGAAATTGATTAGGGGTATAAATTACGGCGCAGTCAACAAAGAATGACCAGGTCATGATTACGGCTTAATCTCCGCTGAACCCCTCATGCTCCCCGCAAAGGATCAGTAAGCCTATGTGGCTGCATCAACAAGTTCACGACAAGGTGTGAATTGGTTAGCCAAACATGAAGGTCATCAAAGGTCACGCGTGCTCGCAGGCTTTACATGGAGACAAATGATGATTAATGATGTATTATAATTACCCTAACTTATTAGCATGTGATGACGACTTCTTTTCTTAACTATCTATATATATGTATAACTACAAATTTGACTATATACCCTGAAATATATTATTTTCACAGACAGTTACAGAATATAACGCTACTCTATTTACCTAAAATGAGATAAATTGTTTATCTAAATTTTTCATTAGAGACCTTAAGTGACCTCTCATGAGGGTCACCGATTCACACCTTGTCGCGAACTCGTTCTTGTCGGTCACTTAAACGTTTTCATTGTGCCTGACTTAATTTTCAAGCGGTACTTTCCTATTCTGGTGCTTCTGATCTCAAACTATTAGCAAAGATGACCGCAGATGACGCTGGGTCTCTTCACGCACTGACCTATTAATCGCGCAATGTCTGCCTAGAATGGCACCCACACTATCTCGCTCTTTCGCTCACAGGTTCACACTCATACTTGCTCCTTCAAATCCGAGCCTCGGTCACACATACACAGACACACACCTTGTTCACGCATATGCCACACGCGAGAGACTAACGTAGTTAACTCTTAGCTAGTTACTTTATTTCTATCTACATTTCTAAATTCTATTCAATAAAGAAGCAGTCACGTAGGTCATTGATTGTTACTCATGATGAGATTCAAGGCACATTATAGCATTTATTTCTTCAATAAAAAAATAACAGAATGTAATACGCATTATGAGTCTGATGAATGCTAATTAGAGTACAGAAATGTTTGAATATATTAAAAAATGTGCGTTTCAATAATGTTAGAATAATAGAACATGATTTAACGTAGAATATCAATCTATGGCTATTGTTTGCTGAGTGACTCAGCAGCCTAAAATATAGCATGAATACAATTTTTAGTTGTATCTAAATCCAATAAAAACACTCATTTTGAAAGCACAACAACAGATGGAGCTAATAAAGACAATATATATTTAAAATCTTATGATCTGCTCTTTCGTAACCTCTGAAAAGTTCGTGTTGCCAGTCTCCTGTTAAAACAACTTTAACCTCATATTGGTTCCTATCATATACACTTGAAAGATGGAATATTGATATAGATATATATCAACCCTCCCTGAAAAGGACTCGATCCTTGGTCACTCCATGTATGAACCAGAGGACCAGTACTAAACCAACCATTCCCACCGAATGCTCATGGGGAGTATGCGTAAAACATCGCTATCATTACTCATATATGAGTAGATAGATAATGTCTATGGAGCTAGTTAGATCCAAGTTGCACAATCCTTTTAGTGAGTCGTGTGACATGGTTAGCTTAGTACTGGTCCTCCGGTTCATACCTGGAGTGACCTAGGTTGTTATATGTCATATACACATGTGCACATTCGTTTATGGCCATTCTATGTCCATCTCATAAGTATAGGAATGCCAACAAAAAAACATAAAGATCTAGACTTACTCAAAACAGTGAAGGTACTGAATCAATACCGCATGTTTCCAGCTAGCTCTGTAAGTACTGAATTTTCATATACCAATTATTTTAAAATAATTGAAAGTTAAGGAAATTTCCGTAGACTTGACTCTACCTATCCGTTGATCAATTGCTTTTATGCCCTTCTTGTTAAAATCAAAATGACAAAGAGTTTAGAAAACCATTTAAGCCTTACCTACTGAGGAATTGTCCACATTGCCTAAATCATAGAAAAAGCAATTAAAGCACAGGATATTGTCATAATTAAGTTAAAATCTTTTCGTTACCTCTCCACGCCCCAACAAAGGCCTCTTTCCCGCCCACGATTCTTCCTCCAGCCCATGGCCCTTCTAAAAGCCTATTCAGTGGGGAAATCTGCTCTGGAATCAAACAAAGGCGAAATTATTGTCTTGTACCATTTATCGTCAAAGGGGGGGGGGGGCAAAGGGCGGGCTACGGCGAAATGAAAGTGACGTGTTTTCGGATTACGTGTTAAAGATAACCTTCCTTTCCCTTGTTCTTCTCCCTACTTTTATCTATATATGTACACACATATATATATAGATACATACATAGATATATATGTATATATATGTATGTGCATATGTATGTATATATGTATATATATGTATGTGCATATGTATGTATATATGTATATATATATGTATGTGCATATGTATATATATGTATGTGCATATGTATGTATATATGTATATATATGTATGTGCATATGTATATATATGTATGTGCATATGTATGTATATATGTATGCATACACATATGTATATATATGTATGCATATATGTAAGTATATATAAGTATATATATGTATGTATATATGTATATATATGTATGTACATACATATATATATATGTATGTACATACATATATATGTACATATGTATATATATGTATGTACATACATATATATATGTACATATGTATATATATGTATGTACATACATATATATATATATATATATATATATATATATATATATATATATATATATGTACATATGTATATATATATATATATATATATATATATATATATATATATATGTACATATGTATATATATATGTATATATATATATGTATGTACATAGGTGTACATATATATATATATATATATATATATATATATATATATACATATATATATATATTTATATATATGCACGCATATATGTAAATATATGCATGTATATATGTATATATATGCATGTATATATATGTATATATATGCATGTATATATGTATATATATGCATGTATATATGTATATATATGCATACATGTATTTATATATATGCATGTATATTTGTATATATGTATGTATATTTATATATATCTATACAAATGTATGTATATATGTATGTATATTTATATATATCTATACAAATGTATGTATATATGTATGTATATTTATATATATTTATACAAATGTATGTATATATGTATGTATATTTATATATATCTATACAAATGTATGTATATATGTATGTATATTTATATATATCTATACAAATGTATGTATATATGTATGTTTTAGGTATGTATACACATATATACATATATAATTAATTTAATAATTTATGTTGTCATTTATACTCATAAATTCAGAAAATCGTACACAGATAAACCTAACCCATAAATAAATTACATTTGGCAGTACCTGAAAGACGGCCGAGAGAATCCGCATTCCCAGGACAGGTATATCATTGCTCACAGGTAAGGTCCACCTCACTCTCCTCGCTCCACCTGCCCCTTGCGGAACCAACGGAACTGAGAAGTATTCTTGTGGCACAGTTGAGGAAACAACCATGAATTATTACAGCAGTCTTCACGCTAGAAATGCATTCACTCCTTACCACCAACACACTACCAGCACAATACTCCCTGGCGTCCGTGGTCATGTTGGCAGCGTTTCACCGCCTAATTTGTACAGCGGTGTCGGGGAGCTTCCCTACCCGTACCTACAAAACCACTACAGCGCCATTGCCAACGCTGTTACACCACCCACGCTCTCCCCTCCGCCCGAGAAACCCGTCACGCCCACGAGGGAAGCGCACACATCGTCCTGGTGGAGTTCAACTGCTTATAACACGCCGACTTCTCACGCCACTTATGATTATCCATTCCATCTTTATCAGCAGCACTCCAGTCTCGCTGGACCTTTGGTGGGCCAAGGCAGCCCAAGCCTCATTCCGCATCAAGCGAACGCCTTCGCACAGGACAACATCCTTCACCAGCAAAGGCGCGTCGCTTCTGCTGTCAGCGGGTCTGTCGGTGCTCGGCGTTGTCGACGATGTCGCTGCCCCAATTGCCAGGACGCTTCACGAAATAGTACAGGCGCCAAGAAGAAGGAACACATATGCCATGTCCCGGGATGTGGAAAGCTCTATGCCAAAACGTCCCACCTGAAGGCACATCTGCTATCACACACCGGGGAGAGGCCTTTCGTGTGTCACTGGATGTACTGCGACAAGGCGTTCACTCGCTCCGATGAACTGCAGCGTCACCTGCGAACGCACACGGGCGAAAAACGTTTCCAGTGTGAACAGTGCGGAAAACGTTTCATGCGATCTGATCACTACAACAAACACGTCAAGACTCACGAAAACCGACGCGCCCGTATTGCTCCTGCTTCTCCTGCTGAAGGCGACGAAGTCGATGTTGAGTGTGACGATGTTGCTAACGATTATAACGGAGACTTTCACTCATTCGCATTGCCAGATTCTCCCGTATCTGAAGTAGATTTGCAAGAGTCTGATACTTTTTCTACGGAGTGAATTGCCTTTGTATCGCTTTGCCAAGGTGAACCTATAAGAACCCCCCGTGAATACTTTACAAATTACAATAAAATTAATTATAACGAATTCCAATTTATTTTTATAATTTATTATCCATCCAGAATGACAAGTTACAAGTACACTTTAAAACATACAAACGTGTACAATTTGATGATCATAAACAGGTATATTTATTTCATTATTCAATATCAGATAGAGGGCAGAGGGAAAGTCATAATAATTATTGGCTTCTCGAAACAGTAGTGTTTCGACTTTAAACGTTTGACCCCCTGCTTACGACCTCTCTCAGTTCCACCTCAGGCGGCACTTTCTCTTTGAGTTACTAATAGAGATTTCTTCCCTGACCTCTTCATGTGTGACCTGAGATGACCTATTGTGAGGGCCACCGATTCACACCTTGTCGCGAACTGGTTCTTGTAGGTCACTTGAAAGTTTTACCAGCGTTAGACCTCATTCGCGCTTGTTGGCGTCATTAACAGATTTAAGTGATTGTTTTGACAAAATTTAACAAATGAAATGTCAAAACAAAAGAGGAGAGGAAAATGATGAACGAATAAACGCTTTTCAGTACTTTTCTGTTCCAGGCTCTGATAACTAAACTAGACCTTCCGTCTTCGGTGGAATTGTTAAAAGCCGACGAGAGTTCTTAAAGTTGCAGTCACACATTTTATAGGATTATCTTTCAGTGGTCCAAATGCATTTATTTCAATGACTCTAAGCTTCCAATTCTGGGCTTTTTTGTTGATTTAACTGCAGTCATATATTCTAAAGCGAGATGACAGGAGTTTTAAAGTAAACAATTTACTATTTTCTTAGCTTCAGTCTTTGAGAAATTAGTTCCGGGTCATAAATCAAGTAACAATGCAGAAGGAACAGGTGATGATGAGGTCATAATCGAGTTCAGCCTCTTTGTTGCTCGCCGCGCTCCGCCCTCGGCCCCTCCTGCCCTGTTCCCCAACCGGCCCCGGCCGCTTACTAAAACCAATGTGCCGATGAGTAGCGGGCGGTACACACACGAAAAAAAGGAAATTAAGAATGGTTTGTTTCTTGTCTTATTTCCAAGTCCGATTTTAGTTTTCTTAATCTATTAAATTCCGCATTAAATCAGTAATAGGAAGCAGTCCAGGGTGAAGCTAAGTGACTGTCTGGAAGGAGGCATCTGATGCGAGGAGGGGAACGAGAGGGGAGGGAAAAGGGAGGGAAAGGGGAACAGGGGGAGATGAGCGGGATGTGCTGTGTGGAAGATGCACAAAAATCGTCTCATTTTCGGGAATTATCTGATTTCAAATAAATGTAACCCTAACACGCATGAGCGTGTATATGTGTGCGCACGTGTGTGTATCTCTCTCTCTATATATACACATATGTATATATATATACATATGTACATTTACTTATAGGTATACATATGTATACCCATACATACATACATATATATACATCTATCCATCTCTATTTATATGCGCACACACGCACAAACATATATACATATATATATAAAGCACACGCACACATATATATAGACACATATATTTACACACACACATATGCTGCATATATATACATATGTGCATATATACATATGTACATATATGCAGAAACACGCACACACACACATATATATATTTATACATATGCACATATATACACACAAATATGCATATGCATACATACACACATACAAAATATAGACACATTCATATACATCCATCTATATATAAATATACGGATATAATGAAAATTAAGTAATCAATATGTCACTACATTACGTAAATCGAATAAGATTAAGAGTAATTGCTAGCTTAAGAATCACCACGATAGGGCTGATATCAAGTTCGAAACAACAATCAACAATTATCAACAGGACTTTTTGCCCAATCTTTCTAATATTTGATTGTTATTTTCCTCTCTATTCTTGTTTCATGTTTTACTTGATCGTGTTTATAGACAATGTATGGTGTTGCTTTTTTATCTATTAAACATTAAACGTGAAAAATTTACAGTATATAAATGCTATAGACCTTGCCACATCCTGGAACATGGCATGCTCTCTCCTCTCCATTCCGGCCGCCGTCACTCAGGATGCCATTCTTCAACAACAATCCAACTTCGCCGCCGCTCTCTTCACCGCCCGCTCATCGCTAAGTGTTCGGCGTTGTCGACGATGCCGTTTTCCTAACTGCCAGAACACTTCAACAGACACTTCAGCTACCAAGAAGAGGGAGCACATCTGCCATGTTCCAGGATGTGGCAAGGTCTATAGCAAGACTTCTCACCTGAAGGCACATCTGCTCTCACATAGTGGAGAACGTCCTTTCGTGTGCAACTGGATCTTCTGCAATAAGGCTTTTACTCGATCCGACGAACTTCAGCGCCATCTGTGAACGCACACCGGTGAAAAACGTTTCCAGTGTGAGGAGTGTGGAAAACGTTTCATGCGTTCTGATCACCTGAACAAGCACGTCAAGACTCACGAGAACCGACGTGCCCATGTTGCTTCTGCTTCTCCTGCCGAAGGTGACGACGTTGATGTGGAACTGTGTGATGAGACGTGTCTGATACAGATTTTCTGGAAGTGAATGATATAATAGGGAATGATCAGATATGGAGCATCAATCAGTGTCTATGAAATAATGTTCGTGTGAGTTACTATGATTTAATTTGAGTAAAATGTCAAACTAAAATATCTGTTTTACAAATGAAACATATCATTCTAAAATGGAGAGTCTCCCTCGTGTATATCCATATATATGTATATATTCATATACATGAAGCTTGAACATGATGGAAGTATCTAAGCGAATATTAAGGCCAAGGCTTTTGTGCGCCGCCTACCACTCGGAACATTCGCCCACTCCTCCCTTTTCCCTCCCTCCCCAACCCTCTCATCACCGCTTCTCCTCCCAAACAGTCACTCAACTCCACCCCATGCCGATATCTATTACGTCATCAGGGAGTGAATAAAAATCATGACCGAAGAAGCTTACTACGTCCCTCTTTTATTAAGGAAGAAGGAGGACATATTCTATATGTTTCTTGCATTCCAAACACGATTTTCATGAATAGTCAAGATATATCCTCAAGGGGGACAGGAACTCATCATTTATAACCAAAGCAATCTCGCCGAAAAATGGTATAAAATGATTACTTCTAAACATCTTCGTATGATGCTAAAGCCAAAGGAAGCGTAAGTTTTCAATGACGTCGATGGTTTGACAACAGCAGAGTGTATCCTTAGTTTCCGTTGCAGAGCGGATGTTCCCTGTCTGCAGGTACACTGTGCCATCCATTTCGTTGTTGAACACTTACGAAAGAAATAACTATTATGTAAGTGCTTTGCCACGGCCGGAATATCCTCTTTGGGTACAAGGTCAGCCATGTAAAGTAATATTTGCTTTTCTCTGTTTTCTCTCCTTCCCTGGTTTTAATTCGACAAATATTCGTTACATTACCTCCTTCTACCAACATGTGCGATTAACACTTTATAGCGCTCACTCCGTACATGTATACATTGTTGCACCAAAACCTTACTTTCATACCAAGGGGAACTGGTCTATAGAATGTAGTTGCTCCCTTAGGAAAGCTATATCTACACTCTACGGGGCTTGTCATCAAGTTTCATTTGTTTTACAATCACGTGATCGCATATCAAATGTAACAATGCCTTCACACACCTAAGCAGTACGCCGACGTGACAGGTGAGTAGATAAAGGACTGTGTAATTGTTCCTTTCCTTTAACTGATATAGTACTTATCATAATAATGTTATAGCCAAAAGGTCAAAGTAATACCATTATATAATGCTATGACCATGCATTAAATGTACCACAGCTTGCCCACACCTGTGCTGTTAGCCAGGGTGGTAAATAATGGACTGACTGAAACTGAATATATAATATATAAGTTTATTTATATGTAAATGAGAGTAACTGATTTTATGAAAAAAAAATGCGAATCATGTGTACATACCCAATCAAAATAACCATGCGAAAATGTATAGTAACTATTAAAATATCTAATTCACAATTAGAAACTACACTTATTCTCTGAAATCACATCAGGCGACACCAATTGGCCCCGCGAATTCTCGGAATTATCTCCTCTGTCCTAGAAAAAGACAAAAAAGCGATTTTGATAGACGCTAGACGCAGTTTCTCTTTTGCTGTTGTACAAAATAGCCCCCCTGATAAATGGCGTGCAATCAGACCTATGTTGTTTCCCACCGTCAGAGCAACTTACACTGCCCATAAGTACCTACATATAAAGATATATGTATACACACACAAGCGCGCGCACACACACTCATATAAATGTGTGTAACACATTTATATATAAAAGAGGGAGATACATACATATCTATATATATATAAACGCACACATACACACCATAAAAATATCACTGTCAATATTTTTTTTAATGATACACATTTATTTAACGCTATTTGTTGATATTTAAGGAATTAACAGAATTCCCACGAACCCTGTTATCATGATCATCATTGCAGATTCCTTTTCAAAGCAGAATTCTGAAGTGTAAATAGAGATGAAATGTTATAAATCTTATAAAAAGTTCACTACACATATCCTCTGCCTCCAACACGTTAATTTGTGTATATTACTAAGGATAAATACGAGAAATATTGGAATATATGTGTGCAAGTTGTGTGCTTCTCTGCGTGTTAGATATTAACTAACGGCTGTGGGTGTGAGTGTACGTAGGCATGCGTATACCTTTGTGGAAACGGTAAATTTGGACACCCGGTCCCATCCACAGTCATTATCAATAATCTCGTGTGATCAGAAGCATCAACCTCAAACAAAAACTTGAAATTTAGGTCAAGATCAACGAAAACGTTTAAGTGACCGACAAGAATGAGTTCGCGACAAGGTGTGAATCGGTGGTCCTCGCGACAGGTCACTTCAGGTCACCAATGAAAAGTTCAGAACAGCAACTCGCCTTTCATCATTTGTGTTCCTGATATCTACCTTACATTCTGCTAGTAATTTCAGGCTAAACCATACCCAGATACATATATATACATACATATATATATACATATATATATGCATATATATGTATATATATAAATATATATACATATATATAAACATATATATGTATATATATACATGTATATATACAAATGTGCAGATACATATGTATACATCTATTAATTAGCAGAGTAGTAATCATATCTCGAGAGCCAAGGCAGGGTATCATGATTCATAATTAATCATCATTTGTCTTGAGAATAAGTTTGTGAGCATACGTGACCTATGTTGACCTCGATGTTTACCGAACCAATTCACACCTTGTCGTGAACTTGTTACCACAGTCACTCATAAGGATCCTATGTAATTTTTAAAAGCTCTTGATCTGAAGAGAAAACTTGTATTTAACATAGATTAGCGGATGAGCAAAACATTTTATACATCTAGAAAATATAGAAATAGATTTTTACTGTGACTGTATAATACCATTACTTTGGAAAACGTGAGCCAGATCATTAACCAAAGACTTCATTTAGAAGCCAGTTCGATAGTCAAACCCGCTACTGCTGTACACCAGTCCATGCAGTTACTCCACAAGTGCCAGCGAGAGAGACCGGCTGAGGGGCCGGAGCGGCGAGCGTGAAGGCGATCAGCTGAGATTAAACTGTAATCATGACCCGGTCATTCTTCGTCGACTGCGCCGTGATTTATGACCCGGAACCAATTTCCTATGATCAAAGCCGAGACAAAAGGAATTGTATTAGTAATAACTATTGGTTAATTTTGTTTTAATGTTGTTCAACTGGACTGAGGAACATCAAGGCAGAATTTTCCGTATCTTTTCTATTTACATTCAAAATCCAAGAGTAGAGTTAGGAATGATGTAATTGGTGACATAAAGTAAACCAAATAAAAATACCAAACCACATTTCTGCAATAATTTGTGTATAGAACTGTTGAGAAGAATCTATCATGAGGTACGTTGAAATAAAATGAGATACTTATTTCAAGATATAACAGGAATAGCTATAATAATCATTAGAAAATATATAAGATACGTGTAATACAAACATAGGATACTACATACCTGGATTAAGATTTTAAACATTGGTTGGGTTTTACTGGTGAAAATAACGCAGTTGGCATGGTCAACCATGCAAAGTAATATTTGCTCACTCCGTACATGTGTACATTGTTGCAACAAAACGTTACCTTCAAACCAAGGGGAAACGGTCTATAAAATGTAGTTGCTCCTTAGGAAAGCTATATCTAAACCGCACGGGGATGCTCATCATGTTTCATTTATTTAACACTCACATGACTGCATATCAAATGTAACAATGCCTCTCCACGACCAAGCTGTACGCCGGCGTGGCAGATGAGTAGATAAATGACTGTGTAATTGCTTCTTTCCTTTAACCGATATAGTACTTATCATAATAATGTTACAGCCAAAAAGTCAAAGTAATACCATTGTATAATGCTTTAACCATGCATTAAATGTACCACAGCTTGCCCACGCCTGTGCAGTTAGCCAGGGTGGTAAATAATGGACTGACTGAAACTGAATATACGTTCTCTGATAATATTCACCAGCCTGATTCAAATAATTATCGCCATTTGTTTAGTTCTTCTGACCCTTCCACTACAAAATAATAACTGATAGGGTTACTTACGTTATATGTCAAGGTACCTGCGTTTCTATGAGTAAGTTTGGACAAGTTTATTTATATGTAAATGATAGTAATTGATTTTATGAAAAAAAATACAAATCATGTGTACATACCCAATCAAAATAGCTGACCTATAGACTACCATGCGAAAAGTATAGTAACTATTGTAATATCTAATTCACAACTGGGAACTACATTTATTCTCTGAAATCACTTCAGGCGGCACCAATTGGCCCCGCGAATTCTCGGAATTATCTCCTCTGTCCTAGAAAAAGACAAAAAAGCGATTTTGATAGACGCTAGACGCAGTTTCTCTTTTGCTGTTGTATAAAATAGCCACCCTGATAGATGGCGTGCAATCAGACCTATGTTGTTTCCTACCGTCAGAGCAACTTGCACTGTCCATAAGTAGCTACATATAAAGATACGTGCATACACACACAAGCGCGCGCGCACAACACTCATATAAATGTGTGTAGCACATTTATATATAAAAGAGAGAGATACATACATATCTACATATATACAAACACACATATATGTACACACATACACATCATAAAACTGTCACTGTCAATATATCTTTTAATGAGACACATTTATTTAACGCTATTTGTTGATATTTAAGGAATTAACAGAATTCCCACGAACCCTGTTATCATGATCATCATTGCAGATTCCTTTTCAAAGCAGAATTCTGAAGTGTAAATAGAGATGAA